AAGGCAGTCGCTTAACCGACTGAGCCACCCAGGCGCCCTTTTTTTATTCTTTTTATGTCGGCATTAGTATTCTACTATATGAATATATCATAATTTATTTTCATACTTACATGAAATAATTACACTACTAAATAAGCAAATTAATTAGCATTCAAACAAATATGCCAGTACATTGTCATAGGTTGATCATTTATTCATGTTCTTTCTTTCAGTTATATTGATTGAGCTAAGAAGTAATATTGATTCGTAAGAGAGGGGTTAATAAGGATCTGATTCAGAGCCAGGTGGGAGGATTGTCTCGTATTGGATAAGAGGGAAGCAGGAAAGGATAGGTTTAGATATAGGTGAAGGTAGGGATTTGATAGTGGAAATTTGAAGGCAAATCCCTTTTTTATGTTTGATTGATTGATTGTGTGAAGTGGTAGACCCTGGTTCTTTGCACATTGGAGGAGAAAAGGGGAAGATTTAAATGACCTATTATGGAAAATGGGAAAGAGAGCTGCCTAGGAAAGCATAGAAGCATATCTGAGGATTAGGAGTAGTGCCAAGGTCTGCCTTTGGGAGATTTTCCCTAACGGTCTAAGCAGCTTGGATATGAGTGTAGATGATGGTGCCAGACTAGAAGTACACAAAGACTTTTAAAGATATTGGCATGAGAGTGCTAGAAGTGCTAGACCATAGAACAGAAGCTGTTTAATAATGAGGGAAGTGAAAACAGCAGGGATATGCAAATGAAGAGCAAGTATAGTAGGAGTCAGTGGGTGAGAGCACTGCATGTATAGGATGCTGCAGGCAGAGCCGGGCATGCTTGAATTTGGTACTTCAGAATTGTGTAGTGTTCCAGGAGAGAGGTCCCAAGGTATATAAAGTGGGTGACTGGAATGCAGTAGAAAAGTAAGTGAAGACAGGGTAGTCAAGGATCTGAGGGGCTGCCATGTTGAGATGCTCTTCCTCATGAACCCTGGATCAGGCCAGAGTTATAGCAGAGAGAAAGAAATTGAGCCAAGTATCAAAGGCTTTAGCTAATGATGGGAATGCTTGGGTGCTGGTGAGTGATAGCAGCAACCATGATTGTCAAAGAAGCAGAGGGTAGAGAGAGTGGAGTAGAGGATTTGGGAAACCCCATGGGGGAGTGAGGAGAAAACTGACTCCACCTCCCAAATTTGAAGCAAATAGGAGAATGTTTGCTGAAATAATCTGGTAGAAAATAAAAAGTATTCTAGGACAGTACTGTCCAATAGAACTTTCTGCAATGATGGAAATATTTGCATTGTCTAAGAAGGTGGCTACTAGTCACATTGGCTGGCTACTGAGCATTTGAAAACATGGCTTAGTACAGGGTTGCCTGGCTGGCTCAGTCAGTAGAGCATGTGACTCTTGACCTCAGGGTTATAAGTTCAAGCCCCACACTGGGTGTAGAGATTACTTAACAATAAAATCTTTTACGGGCGCCTGGGTGGCTCAGTCGTTAAGCCTCTGCCTTGGCTCAGGTCATGATCCCAGGGTCCTGGGATCGAGCCCCGCATCGGGCTCCCTGCTCAGTGGGAGGCCTGCTTCTCCCTTTCCCACTCCCCCTCCTTGTGTTCCCTCTCTCGCTGTCTCTCTCTCTCTCTGTCAAATAAATAAATAAAATCTTTAAAAAAATAAAAAATAAAA